ACCGCTAGACGGTGAGAGAGAACAGGGAGTACGCAACAGCACAAGAAATAAAATCATGCAATTGTCTCATTTTTTTGAGACTGTATTGCGACTCAAAAAAGCTTAAGACCATAAGAACCAACACAGACTTTTTTGGTATTTGCAGGGTTTTCGATATCAGCTCGCAGCAACACAAGTAGATACATGATCAGTTTCATGGCGGAGGTTGGTCCAAAGGGGGGGTGTACCATATATACATATATATATATATGTAAATACATATGAGAGAGAGTACATGTTTAATATACTCGAGATCCGACCGAGGACTGCTGCTCGCAGTACTTGCAAGCCATCTTCGGGGCTGCAGGACCAGGAATGGTGGACCCGGCAGCTGGGCGAAACCCCAGGGCTCGATGTGGGAGTTTCCGAAAATTAGGGTGCCTTATTTGGGGTCCTTAGAATAAGGATCCTACTATTTAGGGTACTATATTAGGGTCCCCTATTTTCGGAAACCCCCATGTAGCTAAAGTAGTATATACTTCTAGGCACCCCTTTTTAGAACCCTAACCATATACTTGTATAAACCCCTTTGCCACCCGAAGTACATACTGTTTCGGTATATGGAGCCTTAAACAAAAGGGAGGCTTCCGGATGAAGGGCGTGAGTGGAGGCTTCGGGCATTTTCTGCATGCTTCAAGAACCGGCAGAATATATTCTTCTACTTTCAATGCTACCATGTATTTCAGAATATTATTGTAGCAGAGTCTAACATATCCTAACTAAGTTGTTGCAATGCATTAAGTAAAAAGCGCACCAACACCGAGAACCTCAGAAGGTGTACAAACAATCCGGGTTTTTTGGGCATAGTACACCATTAGCTCATCGTAATAAGGACCCCTTCTGTGGTATGGCCTACATTGGCCTACCACTAGTTTAGTTAACTAATAAGGAACCCAAAGTGTTATGCCATTAGTGAAGTAGGATAAGGAAGCCAAAGAACTAATATTGGTACCTATTTAGGCCTCTCTTTTACTTGAGTGAAGCGATATTGATAAGGAACCCTGAGGAAAAGAAGTAGGCCCTCCGAATTTTCCGAGGCAGTGGCTGCTCGAGTTTTCCAGGGCAAGTCCGCAGTAACAGAGGCCCAGTTGTTCTCATGGTTTTAGGGATCAGGGTCTAGACACCAATTTCCACAAGAGTTGTGTTTGGGATCTCTTCGTGTTTTGTCGCTGGTCTATGCTAATTCGGTCAGGGGCGCTTATATATAGGGCGCGTGGCATGCGGCGGAGTTGTTCTTCGCCTAGCTGGAGCAGTCGAGCCGGACTTTACAAGCGTGTTGATAATTAGTACAAAAACCATCCTTTCAGGTCGCAGTATTTTTCTGAGCGCAGTCAGGTATTTGTCCCGACAGCGTGTGGTACACGCTATGGGGTCGCAGGAATGGGCGATGCATTGCAAATTTCAATACATTGGCCTCAGTCAAGCATCGAAATGTTTATTTCCCTGTAACACGTGGGGAAGCAGTTTGCTTGTCACTTTCAATCTCAATACGCGCGTGGGGATTCACGTTGGTCATATCTCTGAATTCGAAGCGGCGTGGTCCTGCTGGTGAACCCCGCCCGACATTGCTGGAAGCATGTTGTGCCGGTGGTCTCCTGCTGCTTTTCTTGCGGTCTTCCGGCTGGTCTCCTTGTGGTCGCTGGGGTCGTGGCCGTAATGGTTGGGTCGTCGTGGTAATTTATCACTGGCTGGGGATCTACGCTAGCAGAATCATTCACAGAACATGTTTGCGCATATGCGCGTGCAGTTGGCATGTAAGTACATACGAACATACATATACATATAGCTTACAAACTATATGTGTGCCGTAGGCGTATATGTACGCAAGTAAGATACACATATGCATACATATACATACACATCAACACATACACACACGCGCACACACACACATATATATATATATATATACACATATTTGACAGCATGTACACGAAATCGACCGATAGATAAGTAGATGGGTACACAGGTAGATGGGCAAGTCGATCGATTGACAGGTGGATAGATCGATCGATTAGGGAGGCAGGTAGGTAGGTCGACGGTTGGGTCGGTATGTAGCTCCATGGACAGATGGGTAGCTCCAGAGGTGGGTGGGCCTGGGTGGGTGGGCGGGTGGCGGATGGATAGATAGATGGATGGATGGACGGACGGATGGATGGATGGATGGATGGATAGATGATAGGTAGGTAGACAGATAAAAGGACAGATGGAAAGAAAGTTAGATCCGTAGATAGACGGTTAGCTCATATAGGACGGGGTAAGATAGACAGACGGACATACAGATAGGTAAAAAGATGCCTAGATAGATAGACTGATCGATCATCCGCAGATTTAAAGATGTAAAGATGATGTATAGCATAAACAGATAGGTAGGCGGGTAGGTAGGCAGGCCGATTAGCAGGATAGGGAGCTACGTAGATATGTAAATAGATGGTCGACAGACGGTTAGATAGGCAGGCTTGTAGGGATAGTTAAAGTAGATATGTAGATAGGCTGGTAGATGATAGGTAGATACACATCGTAACGTACTGCACCAGTTCCACAAGCCGCGTGTGAGGTGCAAGCCTCGCTTTGGGAGTTCGTGCGCCGAGCCCGCAACTTCATCTGCTTTCCACGCGAGGCAGAAGTAAACCTGCAGTCTGCGATCGATGCTTCTCCTTGGGGCTTAGCCTTCAGGTCTTGGCAAAGCCCTGGTGTAGACAGCGCGTATGCGACGAAATCACCGCTAGACTTGCACCGAAACGATCTCATCTTGCCAAGAGGGCGGAGCGACAGCATCGTCTACGTGGATGGCTTGTTTTGGTGGCATACGGACATGCCACGTATCATCGTACCCGAAAAGGACCAACGGGCCGCACCCTCTGGGGCTTTCTTCAAACTGCTAGAGATCTGCGAGCGCTACAATCCGTCGTTCCCGGGCTAGACTTGATAGTTCATAGGTTTTCCCTTATGGGTCGTTTGCGGGAGGTTTAATGTTCAGGGAAGCCTAACCGAGCAAAGACGAAGAGCAGAAATCCCTCGGAACCACCAGGAGTCCGAGATGAACGCTAAACCCTAATATAGGGGCCTAAACAATTCCTATACTATTTTGGGGGCTCCTTATAGTTACATAATGGGCCCCAAACCCTATTCTAATTGTTAAGGCCCCCCTACATTATAGTTATAGGTTTCATAGGCCGTCGGGGTTCTTGGACCCAGGGATGAAGAAAGCGATGAGAAGCTCCTGCGGCGTGTTTTCGCTGGAAGAAATCTGGCTTTGGATATCGGGGCTTCTCCTGGGGGTTGGTGCCTTGGCCCCTCCTTGATGACTTTTGATGCAGGGACTGCGGGTTGAATCATGTCAGGGCCATGCCGTCCGAGCGAGGTCATACTGCCTTGCCAAAGAGTTGGGCACCAAGCTGGTGATCTCCTGCGATCCGGCCGCTTACATGCACCCGTTGGTGCGCGAGCTCATCGACGCGGAACATCGGGACGACTTCCGGCAGTTCTTCAGACATCATGAACAAGTTGAAGACGCCAAACACCTGAAGTACATGGCAGAGTGTCGGAGCGCCGGGACCCAGAAAACTGAGGTCGCAGAGACGCCTGGGAGCATCTTGCACTGGCGCATGCGTGGTGAAGAGGCGATCTCGAAGCTAGAGGAGGCTGCCTCCGACGAGAGAAAGAAACTTGCCCTGTTTGTCTGTGACATGAACGATGGCCTTGAGAACGCCTGTCAGCTGCTTTACGAAGTCTATCGTCGCGGTCTCTTCGAATCCCCATGTCTGGCAGTTGTTACCTTCAAGAACACATGCCGCTCAAAGCGGGAGTTTCGTGAGCGCAAGAGGGCCATGATTCAGCGACTGAAGCAGGATGGTGTGCTGCACCACATACACGAGATTCATCTGTTTGCAAACACACGGTTGGAAACCACCATCGTCGGGCAAATGCTTGCATGACGGCTTTCCGGAGCACTGTTTTGAGAGCTCCGAAAGGCCCGAAGCAGACTCACCGTCCCGTGCCGAGCCACGCAGAAGAAGCTGAAGTTCTACACATAATATAGTGGAGTAGAGTTGATGATTCCTAATCCTAGCAGTAGTAGTAAGTTAATTTGTAACAAGACTGAGAACATTCAACGAAACACGATCATGCCAGCTCAAAGATCCAAACCCTAAACCCTAAACCCTAAAACCTAAACCCTAAACCCTAAACCCTAAAACCTAAACCCTAGCTTTAGAAACTCCAGAGTCTCAGGTCTGTTGGCCTTGAGTCCTTTCCCTCCCCCCCCCCCCCAACGAAAGCCCAACAGCCCAAACCGCCTAAAGCCTTATGACAAATCGAGAAGTCTACCAAGCTTCCCAAAAAAAAAAGCCTCAGAAGGCCCCTCGACTCCAAACCCGAGCCTCAAAAAACACCCTGGTCTTTGACTGGTTTGGTTTTTGTTTTCAGTTTCTGGCTTTAGTGTTTAAGGCGACTTCTTGATTGACGGTAGCTTGCGTGGGTCGAAGCACTTGGTGATCAACAGGTTGTGCTTGGTTCAGGGTTTTGGTGATCAAGAGTTGATGCTAAGTTTGGGCTTTCGGGGCCTCGTAGGTTATGTGCTCCGGGAAACCCCTAATAAGCCCCCAGTGAGAAGCTCATGCTCAACTGCATGTTGCCCTCAGGGGTCGTTGCTTGATCTAGGCATGTAGGTTATGGTGTGGAGTCTTCCGGGCTTGCATAAAGGCCTAAACAATTACCTATACTATTTTGGGTCCCTCAGACCCGAAAACCCTATTCTAATTATGAAGGCCCCATATTTCCCCAGCTAGAAGTTTTCTGATTGCAAGAATCCTCATCTTGAAGAAGCTCAAGTAGAGACACTCCACATGATGTGCAGATGAAGTCTTTGAACTAACCAGGTTAGCTTTGAGTCGGGCAAGCCCCTTACCACTTTCTCTGCCATGTGGCCTGTGTGCGTGAAAACGAGGGTGCACCTCCTCACGAGGAGTCATATAGCAGCAGCTGTAAAGTTGGAACATTGTAATCCTCATGCCCTTTTAAGCAAAGGTGAAGTATAACAAGGGCTCCGAGCATCATCCTAAACCCATGCTCCAACTTCTTTGGGTTCGCTGTAACCAGCAAGGAAACTGGAGAGTTGACACGTACCGGGTCAGAATTGCCGATTGTAGATGCAGACCTGACGAGTTGATAAGTAAACTAAGTAAAGTCGAAACCCTAAACCGTAAAATTATGTAGGACAAGGAGCCGAATGATGCAGATCGGTTTAAACTCAGACAGTGTGTGCATATATGCTTTTGCACATACAACATCTAGTCTTTTCATCTGCAGATGTTAACCCTAAACACACATCACAGTCCCATACGATGGACAGAGTCAGCCCGGCGGGTGGCAAAAAGCACACGACCTCAACATCCCAGGCCGTAAGACCTGAACGCTCACGCCTAGAACCCTAGACTCCCAAGGCTTGTGTTACGAGACACATTGAGCTTC